CATACTAGCTTTGCAGACTGATGTACCTGCAAGTTCCTTATGCAAAGAAAGTAAGTACATTTGAGAGAACTAAAAAGCATGGAAGGAAACAAAGGAGCAGACTAATTGCTCACACAGTGGGAGAAGCACAGTCCCTCTGACCCCCCCTTGTAGTCCATGGAGTGGTTCCTGAGCTGTTCTGAGACAGAGGCAGTGCTGCCAGGTCTAACATTCCAGCAATTACTGGAAATGGAAAGAGCAACACAGATGCCAAGGGTATGATGCAAGTTTCATTGTCCCAGTCAGAATGCGAGTCCAGTATGGTTTTGGGGCTGTTTGCTTGGAATTTCAAGTCAATTGTAATTCTATGTAAATTACACGTTTAAGACCAGAAATAAGATTTTTTTTTAAGGGAGCTCCTCCTCATTCCCTGCCCTGTGCTTCTCTGAAGGGCTATTTTGGACCGTGAACAGGGGGTTCGAGCTTAGCATGCACAGAAAGAGCTGAGAAACAGGAAACAAATAGGCCAAGAGGGAATGGTTTAAGCTGACAGAGGGGAGACTGAGATGAGCTCTTAGGCACAAGTCCTTCCCTGTGAGGGTGCTGAGGCGCTGGCACAGGGTGCCCAGAGAAGCTGTGGCTGCCCCATCCCTGGCAGTGCTCAAGGCCAGGTTGGACACAGGGGCTTGGAGCAAGCTGCTCTAGTGGAAGGTGTCTCTGCCCGTGGCAGGGGTTGGGACTGAATGAGCTTTAAGGTCCCTTCCAACACAAACTGTGATTCAGTTTTATCATTCTATGAAACCTGAACAATCCTCTGCAGAGGTAAATAGCATATGAAAGTTTTGCTGTTCACAAAGCATGAAACCAGGATAATTGTGGGAGTGTGCTTGTAAAACACAAGGAAACAGCTGAACAGCAGAAAGAAACAATATTGTGCCCTCCTAATGTCCCCAGGTTCAGTGGGTTAGCAGAGAACAGTTTGGAAGATGATGAAAAACAGAAGAATAGGCCAGACCTGGAAGGGGAACAGTAAAATTCAGGCCTGTGGGGATACATGTTTAATGTTTTAATTCTGAAGTCAGTTTAGGGATGATCTTTATGGGATTGGAAACTCAGGCTTTCTTCTCTAATTGAAAAGAAACAGCACTTGCTCAAGTAAGGATAGTTTCTTACCCATCTGTCATTACAAATTAAAGTAATACCAGATGTTGAGCAGGATCTAGTGCTACAGTGGGATTAACACTTCTTTCAAAAGTTTCCCAGCATGGTCTGTGATGAGAAAATAACAAAACCAAATGGTCTTTGCCCCAGGATCTGCATAATTGTAAATGTAACTGCAAAAACATTTCCACATTAGAGAGCTGTTACAAATGTCTACATGCTTGTTCCAGCTGAAACGTACTATGTTAGAACCTGTAGGACAGGCCACTTCGGTAACAGAAGGCTCTTTAATATACAAATCAATACAACCCCTGGATTTTGAAGCTGGATGTCCTCAAGATGACAGTAAAATGTCCATCTTCATAGCAAATGTGACTGGCACAGCTCGTGAAACAATGTTGTGAATTGTCCATCAACTGAATGTTTCCTTCACCATTTGGTAATTGCATTGACGAGAATATTACTAATCCTTTCCTTAGTTACACTGATTTGTTCTGCAACAGCCTCTGAATGAAAATATGAATCAGCTTTGTAGTTTTCCTCAAAAATCTCTTAATGGGTGGGAAACCTGGAGAGCACAGACACTATTATAAATAAATGGCAGGGCTGCGTAGGCACTGGATGGCATCCCCTGCATTTGAGGTGGAGATCACAGAACCATAGAATCAACCAGGTTGGAAAAGACCTTTAAGCTCATCCAGTCCAACCATTCCCCAGCACTGCCAAGGCCACCACCAACCCGTGGCACTGAGGCCTCATCTCCACGGTGTGTGAACACTTGCAGGGACGGTGACTCCAGCACTGCCATGGGCAGCCTGTTCCAATGCCTGAGCACCGTCTGGGGAAGGAATTGTTCCTCAGCTCCATCTAAACCTGCCCTGGTGCAGCTTGAGGCTGTTTCCTCTTGTCCCATCCGTCGTTCCTTGGGAGCAGAGCCCAGCCCCTCCTGGCTCCATCCTCCTGTCAGGCAGTTGTAGCAGCAGCCTCCCGAGGCCGCTGTTGCCGTGTAAACCCCCACCACAGGACACCACGAATGCTCCAGACCTCACGTCCCGTTCCCCGGGACTCCTCCTTTCCTCTCGCCCCTGTTCCCGTTCCTCGACCCGCCAAGCGCCGCGGCGCCAGCAGAGGGCGCTGCCGCACGCAAGGTCCGCGGGTGTCGCGAGCCGGTGCGCGCTGCGGAGATGGAGTAACGGGAGGTAACGGGGGAGTAAAGGGGGGTAACGGGGGAGTAAAGGGGGATAACGGGGGTAAAGGGGGTCACGGGGAGTTATGGGGCAGTAACAGTGGGCTGAGCAGTGAGCTCTGCCTTTCCTGAGAATCAGCTCTGAAGAGAACACTGCAGAGAGCCTGTCGGTTTCTGTCCTACATGTTCTCTGGTGACTGGGACCCCCTCCCTGTGCCGCAGCCTAGGCTCAAATCGGAGGACTGAAGGCTCCGAGACCGATCTGGTAGCACTACAGAGAGCAGAAGACATGTGGTCCTGTAACTCAGACTCTCATAGTTCTCTCGGAGACCTCTGGAGGTCCTATAACACTGCTTTTGAGCTCAGCTCTTGGTTATTTGGCCTTGCCATGAGAGACTACTTGTGAGGCACAGCAGGAGGAAGTGGGGAATTGCTTCTTAGAGAAGCTAAGAACGTGTGTGATTATCCCTACTATGAAGAGCACATGTACTGGGGAGATGAGACAAACCAGGCTCACAGGTTAAGTCAGCATCACACAAGGAGATGGTAGAGGTCGGGATCAACGTGTCACCCTCCCACAACCCAGCTCACTGCCAGCACAGGAAAGCTGTGGATGCTAATTTAATCTGAGACACCCTGTCTCCTGAATTAGAAGGTTTTAGCAACAGGTAAATTAAACCCCACATGTTAATTTCACTTGTTACCATTGTATTTTCTTCATGGCTCCCTGTTACTGAAAACTGCCTGTAACCTCAAGGAACAGTCTTGTCTAGATTCACTGAGGCTAAAAATCTTGCACATAGCTCTGTCAGAAATGTGCAGCTCTGAAGGACAGGTTGAAACAGGATCTTCTGATCTATCTGGGGGAAGATGAGCCATTCTGTGCTACAGAACCCCTGCAAGAACTTGAGCTTCAGAGGCTAAGTGAGGGAAGTGGGATCATGACTGACGTTCACAGGCATTTTGTGTATGGCCTGTTTGCTGTCCCCCTTGCCATAGCCCTGGGAGCACATTTTAGGGAAGAAACCCATGCAGCAGCACCTAAATCACCGCTTCTGAAATGCTTCTGAGGAAAAATATCACAAAAAAAAGAAATTAATGCTGAATCAAGTCCACATGGAGTGATCTCACACCTCCTGAGCAGTCAAAAGAGCTGGACAAGAGAATATGCTCTTGTCCCCAGTGAGGACTTCATGTCAGAAGCAATCAAATACTAACATAAATGCGGTTGTAACAAGTGAGCAGAACAGCCCAGCTACATAGGAAAGAGTATCAAAGAGATGCCACTATTAGCACCAATAGTGCAGTTCCCAGTTGAACCTGCTTACTGGAAGAGCAACATCTTCCTGATAAATTCAGCATCTGTTCAGCTGGATTTCATTCACTGCAAGAATGAGCGGTAACCTACTACTTACGAAGGCTGAATGATTCTTTCCTAAGCTTCTAGAAGAAATTAGCATGAAAATTACTAGAGTAGAGAAACCTCATAAAAGACTTCCAAAACCTATTTTGCTGTCAAAACCCAATGCAAAACTGCACCCTTTAGTTTTTTTATTGCTTCCAATGTACTGGGGGATTCCCATGTCTTTTCCTGCTGTTTGATCCATCTCATTGTCATTAAGCTCTTTTCTCTATTCAAATGGATTTGTGGTTTTAGAAGAAATACATGGGACCTGGCAGGTCAATAGCATTGAGCACAGCATCACACTAAAGCAGAAAAGGGGAATTACAGGGGTTTCCTTTGTTTCTTAGAAAAAGAAAGTATTTCATTGCACATGGAACAAGAGATTCTTCATAAAACCCTGCCAGGGCAAGTCAAACTATTTGGGATGATTTTCCCCAATTGCTGCCAGGCTTGAAAGCAGCTGTGAATAAACAGCAAAGTGAGTGAAAACAGAAACCACCTCCACCATCCTCCAGTGTTACCAGATCATTAGGTGAGTATAATTGCAGTCGAAATACCACAGCACCTTTCCCTGTGCCTTTCTGCATCGTTTCCATACACACCCTGTGGAAAAAATGATTCTAAACAACAATCTGGATGGGTAAAACTGTAGAGTTATCTCAGTACAGCACAAAACAGAAAATTAATGGTTTATTCCTTAAATACTGAGAGGAAATGCTTAACACAAAAACCTCACTCCTCAGGAGACTGCCTTACCTTGTGCTTCCACAGACACCTTCAGACTTGATTTTCTGAAGACTGGGAAAGAAAACGGCCACTGAAAAACAAAGCAGAGCGTTTGGGTTAAACCTTGAGAACAAAAGTGTCAGAGATTGGAAAATGAACTTCAGGGGCTGTTAGTTTGAGTGTGAGTGAAAACAGTCCTAATGAGAGTGGCCCTTTTCCTGCTACCCTGTCTTCACCCATCACATTCACAACCTTGCTCATAACTCTGCGGGTATGGATTCTGGTAGCTTCAGTATTTAAGGGTCTAAAGTCCTGGCCTCGAGCACACGCCCGGGAAGCACAGAGGGATTTTACTGAGCCCGCGCGGGGTTTGCTCCGTGTCCCCGCAGCCGCCGAGCCCCGCCCGGGAAGCAGCCAGACCCCATGGGAGCCCCGCCGGGTTGGCAGACCCGGAGCCGCGGGGAGGGCCGGGAAGGGCAGGAGAAGCAGCCCTGGGTCCGCCCCCGCCGAGCCCCGCGCTGCACCTGCCTCCCGGCACCGCCCCGCTGCCCGCCCCGCGCGGAGCCGCCGGCGACGCGAGTCGGGGCCGGGCCGAGCCGAGCCGCTGCGGGAGCTGCTGCGGGAGCCGCCGCGCGCCATGGGCACGGGGCGCGGGGGGATGCGCTGCATCAAGATCCTGCTGTGCATCTTCAACACCACCTTCTGGGTGAGCGCCGGGCCGGGCCGAGCGGGGCCGGGAGGAGCCGCCGCACCTGCTGCGGGCGCTGCCGGGGCCCGGGGGAGAGCGCGGGGTGAGGGGTGCCGGGTGCGGGGCTGCCAGCGGCAGGGACCGGTCCCGGGACGGGCTGCCCGAGTTCTCTGCCTCGGCTTCTATTCGCTCCGTAGGGTTGCAGTTGAAATATGTACTCGCTGTAAGAGTATTTCCACTGCTGAGGAAAGCCACCACCTTTCCTAACCGGTAATTTAGTGCCCATTTCCCCAACCAGAATTAACATTTCCAACAACGGGAGGCTGTGAGAGGTTTTCCAGCCTCCCACACTGTGTATTCCAGTGGAATACTCCACAGCATCAGGATGCTCTTTAATAATGTAATTTCAAATAGCAAGCCAACAGCCACTGCTTTCCCAAGCTCATCCTAAGCCTTGCATCAGACTGCATTTATCTTGCTGAAAGCTACACTAATGGGGCAATAAAGTGTCTACTGCTGAACCCTCAAGAGCTTTAGTGCTATGCCCACTCTGCCCTCATTGCACCTTTAATAGCACTGCTGAATTCAAGCTTGCTTTCCTTCTTTCACATTCCCTCATCCTCTGTTCTCCCCTCCAGAAGGGGTAACAATCACCAATGTTAGCTTCTTAAACGTCTTTTTCTTTCCCATTTACTGTTTTTCAAAAAGTCACAAAAGAATCTCGTTCAGCCTCTCTGGAGCAAAGAGTTTTGGGCTTTTGTCTCCTTTATGCTTGAAGCACAGTTAAACCAACTGTTGGTGACAGCACTGCGAGCTCCGGGTACACAGTGCTGCTGTGCTCAAGCTGGAGGAGCAGAGTGATGTTGCCCAGCTGCAGCTGCAAGTCAGGAGAAGGACAAAGCTTTGTGTTGTTGTTTCACAAAAGTGACAAGTACTGTGTTATCTGCCTTTTCATTGAGATGGGAGAAACCATCTCCTCAGCTGGACTGGGGGCATTCATCACCATCATCATCATCATCACCACCATGGAATGGTTTGGGTTGAAGGGACCTTAAGGCTCATCCAGTTCCACCCCCCTGCCACGGGCAGTGACACCTTCCGCTAGAGCAGGTTGCTCCAAGCCCCGTCCAACCTGGCCTTGAACACTGCCAGGGATGGAAGTCAATTAAGTTACTTCTATCATCAAAGTTTGATGTACGTCACAGTTAAACAGGGCTTAACTCCTGGTCACACAGCACTTCCCAATAAGGTGCTTTTCCTACAGTAACAGCATCTTGAGTCCAGACTGAGGCCCTGTGTGGCCTCCTGCCTGGACACAGTAAAGTTCTGAGAGTCAGGAAGAAGAGTGGAAGTTCACAAACACCACTACAGTTAAGAGCTGAAAGAAAGAAGTACATTGCACTCTAATAGGAATTCATTGTCACCGAATTTTCCGACTGCAATCCTGAGTTGTGGGATTTCAAGAAAGTACAAGGTACCAGTGACACCTCTTTAATGCTCTCCAGCCAACCCTTCCTGAAACACTGACGGTTGTGTTTCTCTTCCAGCTGGCAGGACTGGCTGTTATTGCCTTTGGGCTGTGGCTGCGATTTGGTGGGGTTATGGCAGACATTGCTTCAGACAAAAGGTCTCCAGAGTATTTCTTCATGGGTAAGTTAAAATGCTTGTGATGACAGTAGACTTTAGCCTTGGTTTCATCCTAGAGCATGTGACATACCTTATGCACTGAACTATATGAAGGCCAACAATTCCTGGCCTGAACTACACAAAACTGGACATTCTGGTGCTGTCATGTGCATGACGGTTTTCATCCTTTCTTTGCTTGGCATCAACTTCCTTAGGCCTAAGTGAACCCTTCTCTCAGACCTGATCCAGCCCTCACGGATCCTAAGTGAATTGTGCTGTTGGAATAGAAGCTGAGATGGGTCAGAGACTTGGAACATGGGGCTCACCAAAAAATCCTTCCAGACTTCTCTGTGCAGTTGCTAACCAGTGAAACAACTGTAGCTTCTGAATGCTGTTACCACCAGTGCAGCAGGAAGGCTTTTGCTTGCCATTCTCCCTGCGTCTGCACACAGGGGCCCTGAGTGACACTTTCAAGTATCAGAGCAAGTCCTTCCACAGCTGAGAAGTAAAAATACACCCCCAGTATTCAGTCATCTCAAGGGCTGCTTGTCCAGCCCGGAGAGAAATCAGTAGCTCCCCAGGCTACAGAACTGGTATTGGTCATATCTAATTTTAGGCATTTAAGATAATCTTCTTTCTCCCAAGGATTTCCAGTGGGTTTTCTGGAAACACCAGCCCTGTTCCATAGCTACAGACATCCTTAAATAGCAGCTTTCTAGGACTGCCAGCAGCTGTATTTCTCTGTGCACTGGCAATTGCAACGTGCCTTTACACCAGAAGAGTCACACTTTTGTCTGTTTTAATGTCTCACACCTGGGGATGGACTCACTCAGTTGGTACAAACATTTCTGCCATCTACAAATGCCAAGTGTGAATGAATCCCCTGTCCTTCCTTGTCCATCAAACCACTCTGACAGGGTGCCAAGAATGGAAGATGACCCCAGAAGTCCTGTAGCCGTCAGTTACCCATCCTGGGAACACTGCCTGAGCTATGCAGTGACTTTAAATACCCCAGTTCCCTTAGTGGAGGAGACCTTGGCTCTGCCACACCATACTTCTAGCCCCAAGCTTCTTTAACATATGCAGCCAGGCTGGAGGCACAGAGCTGCCTGTATGGTGCCGTGGAACAGATGGGTAGAACATTACACCCAGTAAAGTTTTGTGGAAGCCTCATGAGCCTCAGTTCATGAGGCTGAATAAGACCATTCAGATGAAAATCTGATTGGGACCTGAGGGTTACCCTGTAGCACCTCCACTGACACAGAGCCAGGAAGTATGATTTATGTTTTCTCTTACATCTGAGCTGCTATTAGATCAACTTCCTTTCCAGGTCCAGTTTATACCTATTGGATTTATTATGCTCTATCTTGGAGCTCTTCCCTGCCTCATCCACTTACTCTTGACCCAGGAGATCCAACAAGACAGAAAGATGTTCTGGCCTTCAAAATCAAGTACTGTTGGTTTGTTAGAAGCCAGAAAATAATAGATCCTGTGATGTGAATAAGCACCATGGTCATTTCACAGCTTTGCAAGCGCAGACTGTAACACAGTGTTATTTGGTGCCTGTGTATTTAAATCTCTACGAGATTTAATCTGCTTCAGTCCTGTATGGGAATTGCAAAAGCAGATCAGAGCAGTTAATTTGGAGAAGTCCTGGGGCATGTTCTTGTAAAAGTTTCATCATATACAGCAACACTCAACTCTTGGGGCTGTCACATGTATTTATAGAGCTGGACGTTGTAATACGTAGCTGCTAGCAGAGGAACTGATAAGGAACAGGACCTAAATGTTGAAGATTCTTTTGAACTTGAACTTTTGACCTGCTAAAGCAAAGTGTTGGCCCTTTTTTGTAGTGGGCTTCGTGCCTACTACAGGGAGCATTCCTGTTAAAGAAAAGTAAAACATCTTCTGCTGCCCTCACTCTTTACAGATCATATTAAATGTTGTGACTTCTGATGGGGCAGCCCAAGTCTGAGGCTGGTAACAATCTGTGACTAAGATAGTGGTAAAGGAATGGTGATGAGTTCCATAAGGGTGGGTTTTAGCAACAGGCAAGGCTGCACTTGATCATCATGCTCAAGGGCTTTACCCCTCTGTGAGATTTCAGCTCCAAGTCCCCTGACAATTGTGTACTGGGCCCTTCTCACAGGAGTGGTGTTCAGTTGGCTGTATGTGTCTGCTCTGTAACATGCATTCTGGGTGAGAGCCCAATTTTTGCATAGGAATTCTCAGTATGGAACACAAGGAGCAGATGCCCAGAGGGTTTCAGGAGAAAGAGATCAGCAATATGACTTGGAGATAGAAACACATCGCAATAGATTTAAAAACAAGTCCTGTAGCTCTGTTCCACTGCCTGCTTTGTGTCTGCCTTGCGATAACACTGTGCTCAGCTCAGCTTTGTGCCAGTGCTTGGAACAACACTGCAGCTGCATTCAGAGTTTGCTTGGTAGGTTGAAGCACTGTCCAGAATCAGCATCTTGTGGAAAACAGCTCATTTTCTTGATTCTAAAGAGCAGCACATTCTGCTCTTCTTGTACCTGCACTGAGCTGCCAGCTGAGTCTAACCAGCTTCTCTCTCATGCTTCCTTGTGATGGGGTTTATATTCCTGGTTCTGAAATGTTTTAGTTTAAAATAATTGATTATATCTTTGCATTTTCCATTAGGGCAGAAGGAGTCTCCTTAAATAGCCTTGTTCTTTACCATCAGCCCAGCCCAGTCTGCCCCCTGGAATAGTTTGGGCTCTGACTTGGCAACCAGACATGTTCATCTTTTCCAGCCACTGAAATGTTTGTGTTGGTTTGAGAACAACTCAGAGGCAGCAGTGCTGAGGTCAAGCACACATATGTGTTCTGAGCTATCTGCTGCTTGTGATTTTGTGTTTGGTGATCCATATTTCCCACTGCAGCTTGCAGGTTTTTAACTTACAACTTTAAAGGTTAGATTTGAAACTCTCTGACCCGTAAAGTCTCCTCCTTCACTTTACCACATGTATCTTACACTGGAGTGGCTTCCTAAAATTGGCCATCCTCTCTCTGCAGCTCCCCAAGTTTCTGAGTTCCCACTGCACAATGTTTCTGTGTCACGTCACCTCACAGTATGTTTTGTGCCTGTGCTTCAAGTGGTGAAGCAAAAATGCAGCTTTCCTACTCTATGGCAGTTCAGCTTTGCTGGATTTCATACATTCCTCTCTTAAAGAAGAAAGATAAAAGGAAAAATAAAAGATCATTTAAAGGTCAGTAGAGGGGCAGTTACCTCATCTGAGCTGCCTGTGACACTATTGACCAAATGGAGAAAAGATCTGTAGGAAAAAAGAATTCCCTCAGCTTCTTCATCCTTCTCAAGACTCCTGTGCCAAGACTGTGCCGAGTTTTCTGCTGGGCAGGAAAGCTTGCAACAATCAGAAGGAAAAGAGAGATGTTTGTGTGAACCCCAGAGGTCAGCATTGCTGAGTGCAATGAAAACTAACACGGGGGTTTATAAGGGTTACTTCAAGACACCTTTTTTCCTCTTTGCTTTTGGTGGATGAAAAGTCTGCTCTGGTTCCTTGGGCAAAATGGAGGACAAACTATCCCTCATAAGTGGAGTGCAGAGGATCACATCACTGCCAGCAGCAATAAAAATGGAATGTATGTACTCAACAAGCCCCCTCAGGAATGCTAACAAAACCTGACAAATGTGAATGAATCAATCACAGAATCCTAGAATGGGTTGGGTTGGAAAGGACCTTAAGATCATCCAGCTCCAACCCCTGCCATGGGCAGGGACACCTTCCACTAGAGCAGCTTGCTCCAAGCCCCTGTGTCCAACCTGGCCTTGAACACTGCCAGGGATGGGGCAGCCACAGCTTCTCTGGGCACCCTGTGCCAGCGCCTCAGCACCCTCACAGGGAAGAGCTTCTTCCTTATATCTAACCTGAACTTCCCCTGTTTCAGTTTGAACCCATCACCCCTTGTCCTGCCGCTAAATGTGGATGGCTCTTACTCGTAACTGCCAGCATGGAAGTATTGCTTCTCCTGCACAAACTTTCTGCTTCGCTACATCTTCTCTGCTTTCATTCCATGATCCAACCTGTGGTCCAGGCATCCATCAGGGCCAAAACAATTGTGGGCAGAACTTTCAGGGTGGCTGTGGCTTTCTCTGGGGCTCTACAAGAGCAGGAGTGATCATGCTGGCTTTGAAAGGTACAGTTAGAAGGCACATGCCTGAGGATATGAAGTCATGTCTGGAGTTGAAGGATATTAGTAGTTTTTCTCCGTAGCAGTGGGTGCCCATACAAACAGGAACGTGTTGGCCAGCAGTTAAATTCACGTAAACAGCAATTCTCTGCTTCCGTGCCTCATTTTGTTATAGTTCTAGTCATTTATTTTGGAATCAAGCACTATATCCTTTGTCAACAGTGTTTTCTCTCAACTCCATAGCCTCAAACTCTATCAGCCTTTAAAATGAGAACCATTGGCAAAGCACCCTCTCTGTAGAGATGAGGAGCATCAAATGGTCCTGCTATCATGTGTGTTAAGAGAGGCTTTTAGTCTTTACTTAAGACTTAAACAATGAATTTGTCTTTCTTCCTATCATCTTGTGTGCAGATCTCTTCTGTATTGAGGAAGAGTGGTTTAGAAAAGGCTGATAGTGGCTCCGAGTGGCTGCACCGGAAATTCTGCTTGAAAAACATGACAGCACCACCCCACAAAAAAATCTCACCCTTACTCAAAATGAAAGTTGTTCAAAAGTCCTCAGTCCCTGCACTGGATTGTAAAACCTGGCAGTCAGTTCCTAAGAATCAGTACCCACCTGCAAAGGAAAGGCAAGGCCAGCACAAAGTTAGTAGTCTGATAAAACAAGTTACTTAAGCCCATGGTTCAGCCCAGAGAAGAAAAGCTCTATGGAGACAGAGTAGCTTCCAATATCTGAAGAGACCTACAAGAATTCTGGAGCGCAGCTCTTCATTGGGGACTGTAGTGATAGGACAAGGGGTGATGGGTTCAAACTGAAACAGGAGAGACTTTAAGGAAGAAGTCCTTCC